GGGATAAAAGGAGAGAAGGTCGTGGTGTGGCCTCCATCCTCCCCTGACCTCAATCCTATTGAGAACCTTTGGAGCATCCTCAAGCAAAAGATCTATGAGGGTGGGAGGCAGTTTACATCCAAACAGCAGCTCTGGGAGGCTATTCTGACATCTTGCAAACAAATTCAAGCAGAAAGTGTCCAAAAACTCACAAGTTCAATGGATGCAAGACTTGTGAAGCTGTTATCAAATAAGGGGTCCTATGTTAAAATGTAACGTGACCTGTTAAAATGTAGTTAAAAGCTATTTCAAACACAACAAATGACAATTTTCAGTTCTTTACAACCTATAAAGTGTTTTGAAACTTACTGTGCGTAATAATTTGGAACAGTGCATTGTAAGTTTTTTTATGTTTAAAAAAAATACTGTTATCATTAGGAGGTTTGTTCAATAAAATTTGAATTGTACTCTTAATAGTTGATAACATGAGAATTATCCTGACTGTTATTTACATCAATTATTTAGGTAAATGAGAAAAATATCATTTGCATAATAATTTGGAACAGGGTGTAAGTTCCAGGACAGGACAGTGTGAGTTCTTCTACACCCCTGAGCCACAGAAGGGAGAGGGCGGTCAGGTGCAATACCCAAACAATTCTCATCCGAGACTACTCTGATGTAGATCTTGGAAACCCTTACCCAGGGATACCCTCAGGACAGCCGGGTGGGTGAGGAGAGTTTCATCTGGGGTCTGAGGAGGTTCATTAAAGGGGACTCAGTGCATCTTGCTAAGACTGTTGCTAATTCTGGTCCACATTTTTGTACATTTTTGCTAAGAAGATGTCCTTAAAGTTCTACAGTTCCTTGGGCATCCCATATAACCCTAGATGCCATCCAAGTTATTAACCCCTAATAAAAACAAGCTCAAGAACTGTTTTACTGACTTTGAGAGAAAGTAAGGAAAATGCCTGTTGCCTGGCTGTGAAGAGCTTAGTAAAATTCAGCGGCCCTCAAGCGGGTAGCGCTACATATATATAATGCTTCCTTAAATTTTGGGTATTGAGTCCTTCTGAGAGGACTGCCAGATCTCCTGCATCCAACCAATCAAAGATCCAAACTTCCAAATATATGGCTTCCATCCACATATTGTGGTAAGAAAGCTCACATAGGAATAGTTTGTGCTCTGTACTCCCAGTTCGCAATACGTACTCCATACTGGGTATAAAATAGCAAAAATGGTCAGCCCACAAAGTGAAAAATGAGAGGCCAGGTTTGTCAGCAATAGGATTAAATGGCTCTAGTTCATGTGTGTGGTGGGTTTATCTGCACTAATGCATCAACCTATGCTATACACCTGATTGATGACAGTGGCAGCACTTAAAATGAATTATGGGTAAAACACACAAAACACGAAAAAGGTGTCCATACACCCCAAAAGAGTAATTTCATATTTTCTAATTGGAAGTCCCATGGTGCAGGTTACTGACAGAAATTGAAGACTTGGCAATTGATTATTTAAAGGCAAATAGGCTGTTCACATTGCAAAGGAAGTTTGAAATTTCAATTTGCAAATAATACCAATTCATGTGCAAGAAAAAAAAACAGCATTCTTGCTTGCACATGATTGGATGATGGAAGTCAACAAATTTTCACTCAGTTACTAAGCTGTGGGGAAAATATCTTTGCAAAGTGCAACTTCCCTTGCAAGGTAAACAGTATATTTGCCTTTATTAAATTAACCCCTTGTTCTCCTTGTTGAAGTTAACAGGGCGAAGCAGGTTCCCAGTGCAAAATTTGTATGAGGAATGCAATCTATCTTACAAGTGGTAACACATTGTAAACGCATCATAATAACAACTCAGAAGCTATATATCTTTTTCTGAACTCACCTAAAAACATATTTTCATGGTTACATTCAACTTGCTGTTAAGTCTGATTACTTTGTGCAAACGTCCCTTGGTTTAGTGACTATGTTATGCAATATGCAGTAAGACTACAATTTTGTCATATCCACAGCTGTAGGTAATGAACTTTGAATGCGGATCCCACTCTCATTCATAATGGTAGAATGCATCAAAAATGCATCTTGACCTATTTTTGTTGTGTTCTTCATTACTGATCACATGAAAGAAAGCAAATCTGTCAGTGAGTACAAAGCCTTCTGCTAGATGAAAATACTTTCTTTTATTAAAATATTTTCAAAATGTAATTTACAAAATATTGACCACACTCTTGGCTAATAATCCACATTAACAGGCTTGGCTAAGCAACTCAAATAGCAGCAAGGGAGCAGTGGAGGGGGCATGGTATAATGTATCATTGGAAGGATTTGTTCTGGCATAATTTAGTTAATACTCCCAAGGGAAGAGGATATGCTATGGTTTTACATAGGAAACTATATACTGAAGCATATGATTCTATAGAAAAGAGCTGCTCTAAAGGGCATGAGCCTCGCTAGCACAGCACTATTTTTTAGACCAGGTCAGATTCCAGGGTAGAACGTGAGATCAACAGCCAAGAAATTTTCACTGGCAACAGAAAAATGCTTTGCATGACAAAATCACTTTTCTAGGAAATTGACTAAATTTTTCAAGGTCTGAGATAAGATAATTAGATAGCATTTTTTTTCTGCTTAGTTTACACTTTATTATTCAACTGTGAACATGTCGCAGTGTCACTGTAAATGTTTCAACTTATAAAAGAGGGATGACATCATTGTATTACTTTGAACAGTAAAAAACGATATATTTGTTATGGCATCTCATATAAACAGTTAAAGGTTAACTCCAGACAAAATTTTTGTTTTTACATTTTTAAAAAGAGGGGAGTTTCTGAGTTGCTTTCTTCTCCTGTCATTGATCACCTGTGCAGGAAGTGAAAGGAAATCTCAAAATTGAAACATCAATAAAAATCTGCCAGAGCTTTTCTTCCTTATTGTTATATTTCTGTATTCCTGTTGTAGGGATATGCCCTCATTTTGAATTTTCTAGCCCTTCCACACTCTATCATAAACTAAAAACTATGGTCTGGCTAAAAATTAGCTTTAACCACTTGACCTCCAGAAGATTTACCCCCCTTAATGACCAGGCCTCTTTTTGCTACTCGGCGCTGCACTAATTCAACTGATAATTGCGCGGTCATGCAATGCTGCACCCAAACGAAATTTACGACCTTTTTTCACACAAATAGAGCTTTCTTTCGGTGGTATTTGATCACCTGTGCGCTTTTTATTTTTCACGCTATAAACAAAAAAAGACCAAAAATTTTGAAGAAAAACAATATTTTTTACTTTCAGCTACAAAAATATATAGTAAACTCAAAGTTGGTTATAAATTTAGGCCAAAATGTATTCTGCTACATGTTTTTGGTAAAAAAAATCCCAATAAGTGTATATTGATTGCTTTGTGTGAAAGTTATAGCGTCTACAAACTATGGTATAGATACTGCAATTTACGCCATTTTTTTGCTATACAGCGCTGCGCTAGTTTAACGGACAATTGCGCGGTCATGCAATATGGTACATAAATGAAATTTACATCCTTTTTTTTCCCACAAATTGAGCTTTCTTTCGGTGGTATTTGATTGCCTGTGCGGTTTTTATTTTTTGTGCTATTAAAAAAAAAGGCTGACAATTTTGAGGAAAAAAAACTATATTTTGGACTTTTTGCTATAAAACATGTCCAGTAAAAAAAAAAAATTTAAAAATCAAATTTAGTCATAAATTTCTGCCAAAATGCATTCTGCGACATGTCTTTGCTAAAAAAAAAAAAAAACAATACGTGTAAATTAATTGGTTTACGTGAAAGTTATAGCGTTTACAAATGGCGGGAAAGATACTGGGATTTTTAGTTTTTTTTATACTAATAATGGCGGCGATCAGCGACTTATGGCGGCGATCAGCGACTTAATGTGGGGCTGTGGCGGACATTCTGACATTGGGGGGTACTGACTTGGGGTCACTAACATCCCCAGTGACACCAATACAGTGATCAGTGCAAAAAAAAAAAAACACTGACACTGTACTAATGGCACTGGGGAGGAAGGGGTTAACTTTATTTTTCAGGGAAGGCTTATCTGTGTGAGGGGAGTGTTTTACTAGGGGGCAGGGGTGTGTACTGGATGGGGACAGGCTGATCGGGAGAGAGAAACTCTTCTGTCCCGATCAGCTTGTACTTGATCAGCTGTCCCGATCAGCTGTGCTCTCTGTCACTGATTGCCGCCGATCGCCGGGAGATAGCCGGTAAGGACCGGTTGTGACCTGGCGACTGACATCCGCGGCTGTGATCGGCGGGACAGGTAGGACGGCGGTGCTCCTTGTGCTGTTCTAATTTGTATCATGCTGATTGAGAAAAAAACTCCAAGTAAAATGTATTTATTCATTTATATTTTATCTGATCATTTTTAAAACTGTTTTTTTTTTTCAGCCCATGAATTTTTGTAATATATACAATGTGGCTCTTGTACTGAAAATGTTTGGAGAGTCTTGATCTAAAGCAACCTTTCTCAACCTTTTCAACACAGAAGAACCCTGAAAATAACTTCTCAGGCAACCCCTGCTACAAATTACTAAATCTACAAGTCATGATGCATTAGTGTGATAGACAGTGAGAAGATTGCTCTATACACTTGTGGTCGTTAGGAAGAATTTCCCCCTTACAGATAACTATAAAGGTCAAAGAGCTCAGTAGGAACTTATCTGAGTGGCAGAAACTGCTCATTGCTCAAGGAACCCCTAGCAAACTTTGTAGGAACTCTAGGGTTCCATGGAACCCTGGTTGAGAAACCCTGGTCTAAAGCAAAGCGATCTGTGACAATGTTGTTAGCCAGTGGCTATGTTTTATTTTACTGTAGAGATCAAGATGAGCAAACATGTATAATCAATAAAATCATTAATCTCTATCTGTGGAAAACAAATCCGGGGAAAAAATGCTTTTGTACTATCACCAGCAGGGCTTTTTTTTCACTCAGAACATGGTGGAATGGAGTTTCGCCACCTTTGACTCTTGCCCTCTGCTCACCGCTGTAACTTGTAAACACAGAAGCTTTCTGTGTTTAGAAGGACAGCTTTCCTCTTGGCGGCTCTCACAAATCCCTACCTGCCCTACACTCATGGTGGGAACAGGGGCGGACTGACCATTTGGAATCTCGGGCACTGCCCGAGGGCCCGGGGTCAGTAGGGGGCCCCATGAGATGCCCCTGTTACCTTTTTCATAGGCTTTTTTGAGTTTGGGCAAGGACACAGGGGCCCCATGATCCCCTATTGCCCGGGGGCCCCATGAGTTGTCAGTCCGCTCCTGGGCGGGAACAAGGCAGATGCAATGTGGGATGGGGCATCACAAAGTAAGCTGCACTGTGATCCCCATCTATGCCCGGTTTTACAGATGCTGTCAGGGAATGGGAAGATCGCCTCGGCGATCGAATCTGCACATGCGTAGAATCCTGACAAGACATACAGGCAGGCAGGCACTAGGACCCAGGCGCGCCTGTCACCGATGACGGCGCCGGGCAGGCACTAGGACCCAGGAGCGCCTGTCAGGAGTTGGGGGCCTATTTAAACCCAGCTCTTGCAATGCTCAAGTGCCGTATGGTCTTACCTGTTACCTGTGTTCCTGTTTGATCCAGTGTTCCTGAATACCTTGTTGCCGACCCAGCCTGTTCCTGATACTGCTGTCTTCTCCTGCTCTGATCCCTGGCTTGTCTGACCATTCTCCTGCTTAACCCTGCACGTTCTGATCTCCTGTTAACGAACCCGGCTTGTGACCAGTTTATTCCTCTGCCTGCTGACTTTGTACCACGCTGCCACCATTGTTACCGACCCAGCCTGCCTGACGCTGCTCTTGTGACCTCCTCACATCAGACTCTCACCTGCTATACACCTCCAATGGTGCTTCTACCACGGCTGGGTGAACTCAAGGGCCGCGACCTGGTCTCGGCCTGCTCCAAGTCCATCCCCACCATCAGGGGCCCTGGTGAACAAGCAGGTAGGGACTTAGATTCCGCGCCTTGGGGGAATCCGGTCTGTGGAGTGCTAGAGGCTACCGCTGTAGGATCCCTGACAGATGCTGACTAATGATCTACCTGCAAGTGAGAGAGACAGGCGGAGCCACCTACACTAAAGCCAGGTCCAGTAGGTAAGGTGTGAAGAAGCTTTTGGAGAAGGGAGGAGAGGTGATGAGAGCTGTGGAGGGAGATGTGTGCAAGTTATGGGGGAGAGTGGTGCAGACATCAGAGCCAAGGAGGGGTGGAAGTGAGATGTGGACAGCCTGTGAAAGATAGCTGAACTCTTCACACTGTGCCTAGCACACGCATAAACACTGCACTCTATATGGAGCTTACTCATCAGTCTTGCACACAGCATAGCCCTGAACTCTGCACTCTGTATGTAGCACACCCCTGAATTCTGTACTCTGTGCATAGGACACCCCTGTAACTGCACTCTGCATAGTGCACCCCTAAACCCTGCACCCTGTATGTAGCACACCCTTGAACTCTGCACTCTGTACACAGCGCATTCCTGAACTCCGCACATAATGCACTCCTGCTGTTTATTGCCCCCTTCAGATCCTTCCACTGTTGCAATTTGGCTACACCCACCTGCGGTTCGCCATAGGGCGTGGTTGAGTTCCTGCACATATTCTCTGAGGAAAAAAGCCCTGATCACCAATATATTGATATGAAATGCAATTAAATAAGCTACATTGAACATAGTTGTTTTGTTGACTTAAATCATCATGTTTGTCATTCTCTGCATATAGCGCTGTCTGAAAAAGATACAGATATAATGTATTATATCATATAGGACCTAAGACTTGTACATTTGCAGACTACATTACAGTGCAATGCTTGGGTCTATGATGAGTTCAGTTAATCAAATTTTGCATGTACTAGTAAACATGGGTTTGTATGGGTTACTGGCTGTATGACATTACATTACCAGCTCCACCATACTGCTATATTAACACTAAGTATTAGTAAATTGCTTTTAACAAGCATTCTGTGTCATATTTGTATATGTCATGAAATAGAATTGGCATGACTGTGATAATCATCATGACAGAAACAGATAACAGTTGAGAACTGAACTAAGGGAAATTTTCTGCCTCCTCCTTCTCACCCATACCCCCCACACACACTTCACCCACAGTATATTTGCAATTCTGTAAATAGTTTTGGTGGTTAAAGTCTGACTAGCTGGATGATATTTTAACTTTAGCTTTCTGGTATGCTAGTACAAAAAGAATAGCCAAAAAGACACTATCTGCTCATTGTGTTCCTTTGCCACTCTGTAGTGTACACCAAGTGAGGTCAAGCAGATTTAGGTGACCTTTGAACCATTGACACCCTAGCTAAAATGTCAGACAATGTAAGCAGTACTGAATAAGGGAGAAATACAAATATTTCAATTTTTTCATAAGTAAACCTGTCCAATTATAAATAAAAGCTACATGCTCAGATTTCACAGTCAGTTATCCAGGAGAACCTCTAAGACTTCATGTATAAAAACAGGACAGGTGACATTAGATGAACTAGCTAATCTCAGTGGATATACGGTAATAGAATTAATTTTAGTTGTCTTGTATAAATATGCATGGTTTTAGTTCAAGCCTCTATATTATACTGGCTGTGCCAACAACACAGTATGTTTTAAAGGATGGCTGGGGTTAATGCACTCACATTGTTTTGATTTACAGATGGGTAAATGCTAAACTCATAGGGTCTTGAGGCTTTTAGCAGAGACCAGGCACATACACTGTGTGGAAAGTTATTAGGCAAGTGAGTATTTTGATCAAATCATCATTTTGCATATTGTTCAACTCCAAGCTGTATAAACTTGAATGTGTATTGGATTCAAGCATATCAGGTGATGTGTCTTTGTGTAATGAGGGAGGGTGTGGGCTAAGGACATCAACACCCTATATCAAGGTGTGCAGAATTATTAGGCAACTTCTTTTCTTCAGGCAAAATGGGCTAAAAAAGAGATTTAACTGACTCTGATTGCAACGTTTTGTTGCAAATAGTCAACAGGGCTGCAAGAAACGTGTTGAGAAAAAAAAGATTCAAATTAACTGCCAAAGATTTGGGAAGAATCAAACATGAAGCTACCAGGAACCCATTATTCTCTAGTGTTGTCACATTCCAGAATTGCAACCTACCTGGAGTGCCTGAAGTACAAGGTGTTCAGTACTCAGAGACATGGTAAAGGTAAGGAGGGCTGAAACCATAAGTTGAAATGTCAAGAATGGGCCAAGAAATATCTGAAGACAGATTTTTCAAAGGTTTTATGGGCTGATGAGAAGAGAGTGACTCTTGATGGACCAGATGGATGGGCCCATGGCTGGATCAGTAATGAGCACAGAGCTCCACTTCAACTCAGAGGCCAGCAAGGTGGAGGTGGGGTACGGGTATGGGCTGGTATTATTAAAGATGAGCTAGTTTGACCTTTTCTGGTTGAAGATGGACTCAAAATCAACTCCCAAACCTACTGCCAGTTTTTAGAAAACACTTTCTTCAAACAGTGGTACAGGAAAAACCTGCATCTTGAAAGAAGACCATAATATTTATGCAGGACAATGCTCCGTCACATGCATTGAAGTACTCCACTGCATGGATAGCCAGGAGAGGCCTTAAAGATGAATAATGACATGGCCACCTTCCTCACCTGACCTAAACCCTATTGAGAATTTGTGAACCCTTCTGAAATGGGAGATTTACAGTGAAGGAAAACAGTATACCTCTCAGAGTCTGGAAGGCTATGGTTGCTGCTGCACAAAACGTTGATAGTCAACAGATCAAGAAACTGACAGACTCCATGAATGGAAGGCTTATAACTGTTATTGAAAGGAAAGGTTGCTATATTGGTCACTGATTTTTTTTTTTAATATCAGAATTGTTTATTTGCAAATTTTGAGTTGTTTGTTTATTATTCTCACTTTAATAGATGAAAATAAACAAATGAGACGGAAAAATTTTAGTTTTTCATTTATCTGCATAATAATTCTGCACACTATTAGTTGCCCAATAATTGTGCACACATAGATATTCTCTTATGAAAGCAAAAACCTCACTTTTAATTTCTTAAAGCGGAGTTGCACCTGAAAAAAAAAAAAAAAGTCAGCAGCTACAAAAACTGTAGCTGCTGACATTTAAAATACAGTCACTTACCTGTCTCTCAGTCCAGCGGTGTCCTCCCCACCGCTGGTTTCACCATCCGTCTTCTCTCACTGGCACCTGCATCTTCAGTGTGGGCACCTGGCTGTTACAGCTTACGGCTGTGCGTGAGAAGACCTGTGCTTTGTGAATGGCCACGTAGTCTTCTGGGACCTATCACGTGTCCCAGAAGACTATGGGGAGGGAGGGGGGAGGACAACTTCCGCTTCTGATCGCCTAGGTGATCGCAGCGGGAGTGGGAGTGTGTACCCGTCAAATTCGGGTACCCGCTCCCCAAAGGTGCCAATCCTTAATGGGGAGCGGGGGACAAAGGCTTAAGGCGGAACTTCCCCTTTTGGGAGGAGCTCCGCTTAAATATTCAGGTTTGAGGTTTATTAACATTTTGGATTGTTGATCAATAATTAAATGAATCCGCAAAAATACAACTTGTCTAATAATTGTGCACACAGTGTATTGACAGTATATGTGGTAAGCTATCAACTGATGTTCAGTTTGTGTATTTGATTCAGCTATAGCTTCACTTTAACAGTTATATGCATTAACTAAATTCAAAAAGCAGAGCTTGAAAAACACAAGGTACTTCTTTTTTCCTGGGATTTTGACAGCTCTTTGATTTTTATACAGTTCTATTCACAAAATATTAACCACATGAGTATATTACTTAACCATGACTACCGTTAAAGACATTGTCAGAAGACTTTATAAAGGACATTCTATAGAAGATTATTCCTCATAGACAGGGTGATTAATGAAATTCCATGTAACGTTCTTGTGAACATCTATGCAATTTACTGCCAAAGAAACTCAAATGCAAATTCCTTACACAAATCCTGATGGATCACTCCTGCTCTGAGAAATAATGTCTTCTTCAGTTCAGCAATGTTTGGCTCATTGACACAGTATATAGAGAAAGTTATGTTCTTGTTGAAAGAATTTTAACAGTGTCTACTATGTAGAGAATACAAGCTATTTACTGCTCTAGTCAATGCTTCCTATTGCTCTTGTCAGGAGATTTCAATTAAAACTGTCAGGATGGCCTCACACAGAGTGAATAAAGTGTAGTAGTAATCTGGACACAGACTAAGGCTGGCCATACACTATACAATTCTCTGTGCAATTTCTGCCC